CCTTTGCTGTGCTAAGTGGATACATACCAGAGGTTATGGGCAAAGCATGGAATCAACAAGATTTCTATGCTGAAGAATGGAATTGTATTAATTTGATTTGATTCAAAGGAGGGAAAAAATGAAGCGATACAAGAGGGAATTTATCATTTCGACAACAAACCATTTATAGTTAAATATGGAATCCGGATATGGAATTTACAAGAAGAGAACTACTTACAGTTCCTATATGGATCAAGCTACCCAGCCTCGAATTCAAATATTGGAGTCCTAAAGGCTTAAGAAAAATAGGCAGTCTAATTGGGAAACCACTTTTTGTGGATCATAATACTGAGAAAAAAAATGGGGCTCAATTTTGCTAGGTTTTTTATAGAGGTAGAAATGGATGCTAAGCTTCCTAATGTGATAATATTTAGGAATGAGAAGGGAGTACTATTAGAACAAAAGATCCAATATGATTGAAAACCCACATTATGCAATTTCTGTCGTAGGTATGGGAACTCCAAAGAGGAATGTAGGAAAAAGAAGGTTACCAAACCTGGATCGCCCAAAACAAGGAGAGCAGGTGAGGAAGGAGAAACAAAAGGTGGATATTGAAGAAGCAGGGAATCGGGAGAAGATACAATATGTTAAAGTAGTAGCCATGACTAAGAGAGGAATGACACATGCTGAATCATCTACCAACTTAGTGAAGACTCAAATGTACAGAGTAGGCGACCAGTTGATCGGAACACAGGGTGGATTACTCCAGTGAATGTAAGAAAGCAGCGGTTCAGACAAAACCAACAAATGATCAATCAAAAATCCTTCCAAGTTCTTGACAAAGAAAGGAATAATACTCTGATTCAATCAACTCAGTTGGAAATGAGGAAGGACATATTATTCCTCTCTCGGGAAATGGTTAATCTTTTAAGTTGGAATATAAGGGGCCTCAATAGCCCTAATAAGCAGAAGGAGATCAGACTCCTTTGCAATGAACAAGAAGCAAGACTGGTTGGTTTATTAGAAACGAAGGTCAAAGTTAATAAGATTGAGGGTCTAGCAAATAAATTGTTTGGATGTTGGCAATATGTCACAAACCTAGAACATCATTACAATAGTAGAATTTGGATTACTTGGAGGCAAGACTCTTAGCATGTAACTCTTGTTACTAGTTCAGCACAAGAAATTACTTGCAAAGTGAGGTATACTCCTATGCAGATGACATTTATGCTGACCTTTGTGTATTTTTTAACCAAAGGGCAGAAAGGAGGGAATTGTGGAGCTATTTGGAGAATCAGAGTATATGGTGTAATATCCCTTGATTGGTCCTAGGTGATTTCAACTCAGTGTTGCACCAGGAGGATAAAATTGGAGGGAATCCTACAACTTTAGCTGAGCTGCTGGACTTTCACACTTGTGTGAAATTACGTGGATTGCTAGAACTGCCAACTCATGGTAGTCGATATTCATGAAATGACAAATAAGGAGATCAAATGGTGTTTTCAAAATAGACTAGGCTTTTGTTAATAATGAGTGGCTATTTAACATACCTGTTTATGTAGCCACATTTCTTCCTGAAAGTATAAGTGACCACTGCTCAATTAAGGTTGCTATGTTGAATATTCCTCCTAGAGTAAAGAAACCATTTCAATTTTATAATGTTTGGTCGAAGCATCCTCAATTTGCTGATAAAGTAAAAAAGGTGTGGCAAGTCTAAGTAGATGGATGTAAAATGCTGCAGATGGTAAAAAAACTTAAGTTACTAATAAAGAAGCTGAAAGAACTGAATGGTCAACATTTCAGAAACATTCTAATAGAGGCAAGTGAAGGTAGGGAATTTCTAGTTCTCGCTCAAAGATCTTTGCAAGCCAACCCTTTGGATCCAGTGCTTCAGCAAGATGAAAAAGTGAAGTATCAGAAGTACAGGCAATCATCTTATCTGGATAAGTTGTTCCTACAACAAAGAAGTAAGGCAACATGGATCAAACTAGGTGATGACAATACAAAATATTTTTTCTCAGTTATAAAATATAGGAAGATGCAACAAGCTATTACTCAACTACAATTTAAGAATAATAGGTTGCAAACAGAACCTAATGCTATAGCTGGAATACTGGTGGAGTACTATGAAAAACTATTGGGGAGGAAGGAAACATCAAGAACAAAAGCTTATGCAGGATTGCTGAAGAATTATCCAACACTGAGCATAGAACAACATTGAGTTAGTGTAGCATTTCACAGAGAGGGATGTTTAGGAATCTATGTTTGGAATAGATAGTAATAAGAGTCCTGGTAAGGATGGATATGAAAGTGGATTTTATAAAGCTGCATGGGCAATAATAGGTAAAGACATAACTGAAAAGTGTTAGAGTTTTATAACAATGGGAAATTGTTGAATCAAGTAAATTCCACCATGGTTTCCTTGATTCCAAAAGTCAAAGTTACAGAAAATGCTAGCCAGTATAGACCCATTTGTTGTTGCAGTGTATTGTACAAATATATTTCCAAGATGCTTTGTACTAGATTAGAGAAGGCAATCACTCATATAGTATTTGATAACCAATCAGGATTTATTGCAGAGAAGCCATTGGTTCACAATGTACTTATTTTTCATAATTTGTTAAGGCATTAGAATAGGAATACATCTCTTAGTTGTATGATGAAAATTGATATGAGAAAGGCATATGACATGGTAAATTGAAACTTTATTGAAGAGGAAGTGGAAGGTCATGGATTCCCAGCAAGTTTTACTCAAAGAGTTATAACATGTATCACATCCACTAGATTCTATCTGAAGGTAAATGGAATAGGATATGTGTACTTTGCTAGGAAGAGGGGTCTAAGGCAAGGAGATCCAATTTCCCCTTTATTGTTTGTCCTTGTTATGGAGTACCTATCAAGAGTATTAAGAAAAATATGTGAGTTTCCAATTTTCAAACTGCATCCCATGTGTAAAGCACTGAAACTTACACATCTTATATTTGCAGATGATTTAATGATATTTTGTAAAGGTAGCAATATTGCTTCAGTAACTAGAGTAATGGAAGCTTTAAATCATTTTAGCAAGGTGACTGGTTTTGTGGCAAATTTTGACAAATCAAGCATCTTCCTAGTAGGAGTGCATGAATCTGTAGGGGAGGAACTGTTAGGCATGACAGGTTTTACTGTATGTACCTTTCCCATTAGATACTTGGGACTACCATTATCCTCAAATAAGTGGAGCAGGGTGGAATGTCATCAACTAGTGGATAAAATAAATAGCATAATCACTAAAATTTATGCAAGGTAATTTTTCTATGCTGGAAGGTTACAAATAATTAATGATGTTTTGTTTTCAATCTACGACTTCTGGGGAGCTGTCTTCATTTTGCCACAGAGCATCTTGAAAGAGGTGGATAAAAAGTGCAGATAGTATCTTTGGGGTGGGTCTGAGGAAAAAAAAAGATTGCTTTGGTCGCTTGGGAATATGTGTGTGTTCCAAAGAAATTTGGAGGTTTAAACATCAAAGATAGTAAAACCTAGAACGTTGCCTCAGTGGGGAAATTAATCTGGAAACTGGCTACTAAGAAGGACTTGTTATGAGTTAAATGGATACATGGATTTTATATGAAAACAAATTACTTACATATGGACTCATATACTACCAGTGGACTGTATTTGATACTAGAAGAAACTTAATGAAATCAAGAACAAGATAGTCGATTGATATTTGAATGGCATTTATAGGCTGAATTCAACAAGCAAATATTCAGTGAGCAAGAGTTACCTAGCCATGAAGAATAACATGCCTAAGGTTCCAGAAGCTGACTTGATCTGGAGTTCAGTGCTGCAACCTAAACACAGAGTCATTGTTTGGTTGGCAGCTCAAGATAAACTACTTATAAGAGAAAGATTGGTAAGGCTGCATATACCAATGGAGGACACTAGTTGCTGCCTATGTGAAGATGTACATATGGAGACACAACAACACATATTCTCTAAATGTAGCTGGATAGAAGTGATCAGGGAAAGCTTAGCAAACTGGATTGGAGTAACTATCAGGAAGCTAGGAGTCATGCGTAGTCTGTAATGGATCAAAACCAGACACTGGAAACACTTCAAAAAGGAAGTGATCACTGCAATTTGGAGAGCTGCAATCTATCATACATGGACTGCTAGAAACTAAAAGCTCTTTGGAGTAACAAATGTAAATAAGAATTTTGTAATTGCATAGATAAAAAGAGGGATCACAGAGAGAGAGTAGATTTTCTAAGAGGATCAAAGAGAGCCCATAGATGTAGTTTACTGATAAGGAGATTATGTAATCGTTTTGTTAGGGGCTTAGCAACCAAATTGGTTTCTTAGGTGCTCTATAGGTGTATTGTTTTGTATTTATTAATGGTAATTTTTACAGTTATTACCAAAAAGAAATATCTTCACTCTCCTCCGTCTCAGAGATGTTCGACAAGGTTGCTAATTAGGCAAGCCACCTCCAAGATGTTCTTTGTATGAAGCATAAGAGTGAGTTGCTCTAGTGGTAAGCAGCCTCCACTTCCAATCAAGATATTGTGAATTCGAGTCACTACAAGATCAAGGTGGGGAGTTCTTGGAGGGAGGGAATCGAGGGTCTATCGGAAACAGCCTTTCTACCTCTAGGTAGGAGTAAGGTCTGCGTACACACTACCCTCCCCAGACCCCACTAGTAGGATTATACTGGGTTGTTGTTATTATTGTTGTTGTTGTTGTTGTATGAAGCCTAAGAAAAGATAAGGGGGAGATACGATGAAGAGTTGAGGGATGATCGAGTCATCACAAAAATTTCTATAATTGATCAAGAGTCGAGATTTAATTATGTTATTTTTGCTATTTAAGAGTCTAAAGACACAAAAAATATCAAGAGCTTATATATGAGGTAGATTTAACTTGCCAATATTGTAGATGGGGTGACCCTGAAATCTTAGGGCATTGAAGTGAAAAAACAAAACCATTATTGCAATATTAATTCTTGTAAAAATAAACTTTATGTAATTGATAGTGCATAACTGCATATATATTATTATTCTGGACCAAGACTATTTAATTGATCTTTCTGCAAATTGGAAGAAAGAAACTTGGAATGACTATTAAGGTCTGCGTACACACTACCCTCCCCAGGCCCCTTTAATAGGATTATACTGGGTTGTTGTTGTTATTGTATAAAACCTACGAAAAGATAAGGGGGNCTTATAGATGAGGTATATTTAACTTGTCAATATTGTAGATGGAGTGACCCTGAAATCTTACGGCATTGAAGTGAAAAAACAAAACCATTATTACAATATTAATTCTTGTAAAAACAAACTTTATATAATTGATAGTGCATAACTGCATATATATTATTATTCTGGACCAAGACTATTTAATTGATCTTTCTGCAAATTGGAAGAAACAAACTTGGAATGACTATTTTAGTTGTTAACTATACCTTTCTTTGAGATTTACATAAAAAAGCATTCTTTAATTTTCTCGTGAAATGTTTATTATTTGTTGATAAATCTAAAGCTTGTGCCTTTGTTTTTTTCGGATTGGATCTCAGTGCTCCACCAACGAGTTGTACCTCTCCAACCTTATAGTAAGTATCACAGCCCAAGCCCATATTACGTATTTTTCGCTTTGGCCCAATAGACCTCATTGATTTGTCCCTTGGGCTACACTATCGAGCCAAAAAGCGTGCGTGTCATGTAAACTTGTGTTATGCGTTATAAAGCTCTTTACTTTCATCTCCCATTTCGATGTAGGATTCGCCTAGCCCTTCTTCCAGAAATTTGCCAGCCTAGAAGCTTGTCAGTCATTCTCTTTGATCCGTCGTCATCGGCTCACCCTCCGTTATGGGTGTCACAGTAAGAGTGCCTATTACCAGTTAAGTACTAGCAAAATAGAGAAGAATATCTAGTCTTTGAGATAACAATTCGAAGGAGCACTCTCAAAGTGATTTGGATAGTCAAGCTCGTAATTCTTGCTTATAGGACTAAACCTTTCAAACCATAGGATATTGGCTAAATTTAATTTTTCAATAGAGTGTTCTGCTTTATGAGACCAATGCGGGGAGACATTTCTGCTAGTACAAATCCATTCAACTTACTTTCCATGCCTAAATATGTCAATAATGTAACAAAAACTTAAGTGTCAAACGTGGCTCTTGCAACACTTTAACGACAATCTAAAATATGGTAACTTCATCCTTCTGGCTACTGTATAACACAGAATGATAGAAAAAGATTTTCTCAACTGAAAAAAAAATTACAGCTAACAAGTTTAGCAGAACAATCAATCACAGAACTTATCATTAAAAGCTGGTTTTAGTCTGCATATATACAAAGTTAACATATCTCAATTGACTTACTCAGAGACATTAGCTTTTTGAATAGTCAGTTAGTCATCAGAAGGGCTAAAATGAACCTTGACCCCACTTAACTGATCAACAGCACAACATAAATGAACGTTTTGGTTACAAGTTTCTCTATAAATTGAAGAGTCTGCAATGCATTGATGTCCAAGAAACCAAATAGACCTGAAAATGAAGCATTTACTAGGTTGTGCTATTTCAATAGAAAAGCATAAAGCTAATATAGCCATGCTCCTCACACAAATGATTTTCGCAGGCATGGCTTTGTTTTCTAAAGCTGCAATATCTGAAGGGATGAATCCTTATGTATTTGTTACTTATCGTCAAGCATTTGCTGTCCTCGCGTTGGCGCCACTCGCTGCCTTCTTCGAGAGGTTAATTTGTCCCACAATTTGTTTTAATTTATCTATCTCTTACTAGGTCCATTTCATATTTGAGAACTTAATTATTGAGTTATAAAACCTATTATATGTTCATCTTTTTCAATTAAATAGAAAGACTGTGGTTCCTTTATCCTACAACATCCTGTTCAAGATCTTACTGATGTCATTTCTTAGGTAAGTTCACTGTTAAATATTCAATTTCTTGAACTATTGTTTGTAAATTTCTTAGCCTCACTGGATTAATTTTGTGACATTTTCAGCACTCTAAGTTTGAATCTCTACTACTTCTCCATACACTATACAACAGCAACCTTTGCTGCAGCCACCACTAACATAATTCCATCCATAACTTTTGTTATGGCAATTATCCTAAGGTAGGCACACTTCAAAACTACCTAAGCAGCCTTAATTATATCGAGGATAAAAGGAACCATATGTAGCTAATATTCTCTGTTTTTGTCTTCGATCTTTTTCTCTTTGTTTTGAATCAAACATATAGGGTGGAGACTCTATCAATAAAGCAGTCACATGGAATGGCAAAAGTATTGGGTTCTTCAATTTGTGTTTCAGGAGCTTTGGTGTTTGCCTTAGTTAAAGGACCACATTTAAACTTCATGAATTGGTCTATGGGGAACACAAAGGGAACTCATAGCTCAAATTTTCATTATACTTTGAAGGAAGAATGGATAAAAGGTTCACTAGTCATGCTTTTAGCTAACATAACATGGTCTCTGTGGCTCATTTTACATGTAATTCTTCAACCACATCCCTAAGTTTTAATAGAAAATTTAAGAAAAAGGATTACAATATGTTCATTCATTGACACATATTGCTTCTCTTAGGTCCCTATTATAAAACAATATTCGGCAAAGCTACGTCTTGCCACCCTATACTGCTTGTTTAGCTGCATACAATCATCAGTTTGGGCAATGGCAATGGAAAGGAACATATCAGCATGGAAGCTCAAGTGGGACATCAATCTTTTTTCTGTGGCTTACTGTGTATGTTTTCTAATATACATACAACCTCCTGTTAGGATTGAGACTGTTTTTATGAGTTATTTCTATAAAACAACGATTAGAACAACGATTTTTACACTATCAAGTCATCTAAAGATAAATACATGTAACCGTTCAAACATGAAAAATAAGGAAAGCAATATGCTCCAACGAGTTAAAACCGTCTTACTAGTGCAAAAATTTCTTACTTTGTTTGTATACAAGTTAAATCACTTTTTTATTGGTATCCGCAAAAAGAAATTAGTAATTTTTTTTTAATTATACAGAGGGGGAAATGGGGGAGGGGAATTAGAAGGTGGAGAATCATATCCTCACCAACAATGTGAAAGTTCAGGTAACCAACCAACTAAGCTACTAAGAGTACTCTCATCCACAAACAATTGAAATCCTTGTTTATGGTTTTTATTTTATATTGTTTAAGTTTAGTTTTTTGCTTTGTAGTTAATAATTCATTCAGCAGAAAACATTGCAGGGTGTGATTGTTACAGGGATAACATACTGGTTACAGCTTTGGGCAGTAGAGAAGAAAGGACCAGTATTCACAGCCATGTTCACTCCATTATCACTTATCATAACTGCTATAGTGTCAGCATTTTTGTGGAAGGAAACACTTTATATGGGAAGGTCCATAATCATATATTATCCTTCTAATTTCAACTTAAATTAATCAACCCTTTAATTTCCTCAGTATAATTAAACTTCAAAAGCTCAATTTTCTGTACTTTGTTTTGGCAGTGTTTGTGGAGGAATATTGCTAGTTGGTGGACTCTACTTGGTCCTATGGGGAAAGAATAGAGAAGCAGAGAGGAAAGTAAATAAGGATCAAATACTGGAAACCAAGGAAGGAACCACAGTGGAATGCATTACATTGCATTCTACATCAGTAATTTGATAGGACAGTATTAGGTTTTTACACTTATTTTCCTAAAAGCATGTCAGCTAACAAGCATGGACTGTCCAATATTACCTAGCAAATAGATTTGGTTCTTATACAAAGTTTCAGTGATCTCCAATCTCCAGTCTCATCATGATCAACTTAAAAGAAAAATCATAAAACTGAAGTCTTACAAATCTTACTTCGATCATAGACGCCACTTCGCCGTCTATAAATTCTAGTAGAATTTAACTTATATAGACACTGACAGCGTCAATGGATCATTCATATACTATTAGGTCAATAAAAAGGAACTAGTATAAGTTGTAAGTAATTGTCTATTGAAATTGTTGGGCTCCACTTTGTTGGGAAATAATAAGCACAAGCAATGTGCACGACGAGATAGAAGCGGAATAATATTCTAAGTCAAACTTTTCCAATTTATTTGAACCAAGAGAATACAAACAAATTCAAACACAAACATATATGGGCAGCAATTATATCAACCACCACAAATATGGAAGGTAAATAATCAAACACACGAGGCACCAAGGTTTACGTGGAAAACCTATAAAATCCACGGGGTCACAAAGATACAAAAAACCTCTACTATAACAATAAGAGGGTTACAAAAGTTCTCTAAATTGGCTACACAACAAGTGTAAAATACGGAGCAACAATAACAACAAGAGCAACAACAAATCAATTGAAGAAAGAGGAGAATTCACAAAACGGGCATGTTGTTCGGGGGTCGAAACTGGATCCTACAGGCCTCCAAATCCGATCTCCACCGTTCAAATAAAAGATCAAGATATTAAGAACACTCAGTCAAAATTTCAGTATGATCCAACTATTAACGAGCCGGAACGAGCTAATTGGAGTAGATCACAAGGCTTTAAAATCGACTGCCCCTTATGTTTTTTCTCTTGTTATGTTTCTGACTTAAAATAAGTCATATTTATATGTCTTGATATTAGTGGGCTATAAGGCAAAGTGGGTTAAGTTCAGAACGGACAATATCATATCATGTTAAGAGTATTTTTGGGTCATTTTAGCCAAACAACTGGTATTAGAGCCAATGATTTGGCGAGACTATAAAGATGGTGGAGTGTGGCGTGGGTCCCGGGCTTAGTGCCTTTGCCCGTCTACGGGGTTTACGACCTTTACTCGTAACTCTCAAGACGCATACACAGTCTTTGAGCTTCGGTGATCGTAAATACTCAAAATCATATGGGTGACACATAGTTAAATCTCTAAATTAGTCCATGAATGGTGATGGGTCATGAACTTAGTTCAAGGGGAAAATTGTTGGGTGTGTGCGAACAAAGTCCCACCTCAAATGTAAAAAAGAAAAAAAAAACTACTTATAAGGAGTTGGATACTATTAATGGTGTGAGGCATTTTGGGAAAAATCGTGCGATGTTGGCTCAAAGCGGACAATATCACACCATATTAAAAGTATATTTGGAACATTAGAAATGTGTTTCAGAGAAATAAAAAATCTAAAGTACCATAAATTTTACTAATCCAACTTATTGGTATTCCATGACTGCATTTTAGAAGTATTTTCTTTTTGAAATAAACATTCAGGTAACTTATAATTGAGGTAATTTCACGAATGGCCATTTAACTTTTATTAAAAATCATTAAACTATTTTTTGTAACAAAAAAATCAATTAAATTTGCCTAAATATTACAGAAAGTCACTAGTTTAATTATTTTTGGAACAAAAAATCACTCAATTTTGCCTAAGTATCATAGAAAGTCATTAGCCAATATCTTTTTAAAAGGTTATTCAACCATACCTAAGTATCATATAAATCCTTTTTTGTTTTCTCATAATAACTTTTTGTAATACTTTACAAAGTTGATTGACTTTTTCGTTATAAAAAATAATTTATTAATTTTGTGATATTTAAATACAAATGAGTAATTTTCATTACAACAAGTAGATTAATGACTTTCCTACAGTAATATTAAGTGGTGACTATCATGTTAACCCCTTAAAATAAAAGCAAAAAGAGAAAAGGATGAAAAGTATGCTGCATTATCTCTGCCAATATAATCTCCTTGCCTGTCCAGAAATCACTCCATTATTATTATGACTAGTGTCATGGCCACCACATTATCATGCAACAAATGGGCCACTTGGCATATATTTTTGTCATATAGAAAGTTTACATATGAAATAGACAAGCACATGTGGAAAGGTTCTAGAGAAATATGAAGATTTCTCATGAAAGACCTTAGAACCCTATAGAATTGTTAGGAAAGTACTTAGAAAATTCTAGTTATGTAGAAAATTCTAAAGAAGGGACTTACTTGTAAATAATAAGGGTATTGCGTAATAATTATTATTTACTCACTAGCCCATAGGAGACTAGTATATAAAAGGGACTATTCATTTGTAACTCACCAAGCAAAAACAAATCAAGTTATCTACAATAAAAACTTCATTTGGAAAATTTCTCCTATCTTTCTTATCTAACATTCCCTTAGCGATTTTGAGTATAGTATTTTTGGCTGACTTGGTATAACAAGATCGTAAGCGAGTTGTACAAGAACGTGAGCAAATTGTTAAGTGTCGCATGTGCACTTAGTTTAAGTCTAAGGATGTGACAACGTGGTATCAGAGCAAAGGTTGCAACTAAGGGAATGGAGAACGGCGGAGAAATTAATGCTGCCAACACCCAAGCCAACGTCATCCAGTGGCAAGAAGGGCTGTAACAAAAAGAGAAATTTCACCAACAAGATCCAGGAGGTGTCGCCCGAGATTGCGTCAAACGAATGGCTTACATACCAAGAACCATATGTCATTGAGGCGAGTGAGGATGCAGTGGTGGTCCTATCGGAGGACGTCTCGCTATGTAAAGAGTGGGTGATAGAGGTAAATGCGGGAATGGATACCATGGAGATATTTGGCCAACGCTTAGGGAAGGTGGAAAGCACCCTTAGTGTTCTTGAGGGACACACTCTTGAGGAGATTGAGAGTATCTGAAATGACTTGGAGGGACGTACACAGACTGAGATGGAGCTAAGGCAAATCATCACTATATTGGAATGCAGACTCATGGAGGCCTTGAGTACTATCGATGCAATGAAGGCAAAGATAGAGTCAATCGATGAGCATATTGATACTGGAATGACTGAGGCAAACGACAATGTTGTTATGACGAGGGAGGCCAAGATCGAAGCTCCCAAGCCACCGGTATTCAAAATTGTTTGTGATTCACAAGAAGTGGAAAACTTTCTTTGGCACATGGAGAACTACTTCAAGCACGGAAAGGTGAGGGACGAAGAGGCTAAGATCAATACCATTGTATTGTACCTCTCAGAGATTGCCGCATTATGGTGGCGTCAAACGTGTACTGACATAGAGAGGGGGCTAAACAAGATTGAGACATGGGAGCAGTTGAAGAAGGAGTTAAAGAAGAAATTCTACCCCATGAATGTGGTGTACGATACTAGGCGGAAGCTAAGGGAACTCCGACAGACGGCCACAATTCGAGAGTATGTCCGCGAGTTCAGTACCTTAATGTTGCAAATCCCGTCATTATCTGAGGAAGATTCCCTCTTCTACTTTATGTATGGGTTACAAAATTGGGCAAAACAGGAGTTAAGAAGACATCAAGTAGCCAATGTGGATGAGGCCATAGCGGTAGCCGAGTCGTTTGTTGACTTCAAGATGGAGCCTGCCAAGTCCAAAAAAAACAACACCGAGAGGGGTGAGGGAGATCATGACAAGGACAACGAGAAAGGCATAGCCGAGGTATATAAGGGCAATGACAAGAGGTCCTCCCATAACGGATAGAAGCCCAAGAGAAATGGTAAGGGGCGAAAAATGGTAGCGAGTACATGCCTAAAAGAGGGTGCTACTTCTGTAAATGATCACATTGGAAAAGTGAATGCCCAGAGTTGGGGAAGCTTGCAGCAATGATCAGGAACTTTGCTTAGGCATACAAGGGTGACACAGGAGGGACCGCCTGCATTGGAAGGATGTGCTTGGAATCTAAGCCGAAAGTTAGGGATTCCAAAGCCTATATTGGCACCCTGCAAATGGAGCATGGTGGCAGCAAGAAAAGTTGGGCGGACATAGTTGAAGAGGATGGCGAATTACAAAGTAATGGCACGCTATCAGACTTAGACGATGCACCAAGCAGAGAGGTCAAGTTTGCTAGCAGGGCTGGGACCACAAAGGACAGCCAAATATGGAGTGGAAGCATGGACCCGATGCTTGAGAAGCTGCTAGACTTGGTTGAGTCATGGGGAGATTCAAGCCAAGAGCAAGGAGAGGCATCTGATGGGCGGAGGATCGAGGCCATTGCTAGTCATCCAAAGTACAAATAGGGCAAGAAGAAATATGACCAGTACTTTGTGATATGGGAAGACGAACCGCTCCACAGGGCATCATGGCTAATGGACAAAGTTGTACGTATCGATGCTTTGTGCCAAGGGCGACACAAAATTGGGTGGGGGAGAGTGTCATGGACCGCCACATCATCATGCCACATAGGTGCCACTTGGCATATATTTCGGTTATATGGAAAGCTTACATATGAAATAGACTAGCACACACGGGAAGGTTCTAGAGAAATATAGAGATTTCTCATGGAAGACCTTAGAACCCTATGGAATTGCTAGGAAAGTACTTAGAAGATTCTAGCTATGTAAAAAATTCTAGAGAAGGGACTTACTTGTAAATAATAAGAGTCTTGCGTAATAATTATTATTTACTCACTAGCCCCTAGGAGACTAGTATATAAAGGGGGCTATTTATTTGTAACTCACCAAGCAAAAACAAATCAAGTTTTCTATAATAAAAAGTTTCATTTGGCAAATTTCTCTTGTCTTTCTTATCTAACATTCCTTTAGCGATCTTGAGTGCAGTATTTTCAGCTGACTTGGCATAGCAAGATCGTGAGCGAGTTGTGCAAAAACATAAGCAAGTGTCGCACGTGCGCTTAGTTTAAGTCTAAGGACGTGACACTAGGCTAGAAACTTATTTGAAAGCAGTTTCTGATCACTACGTCTACTAACGCATCAGTAGTCAAGGTTGGACATCATATTATTCTAATTAAAAAAAATCGAGCAAACAACTTGTAACACTGAAACCAAAGAGTTAATTAATCTTTC